TCTCGCCCCAAATCTCCACCTAAGGAAGGATATTCCCCAGGTGGTTCCGCTACATGCTCAGGGAATAGTCAGTTTCAGGGGAGCAAGCGCTCTGGCTTCGATGGGAGGGGATGGTAAGATCGAAGGTTTGGGGCTTGCGGTTTGAGGGTGTTGGTGGGCTTCATTTTGAATTCTAGGGATCGGGCAGGAAACTCGGGATGGGTGCGATGCAGCTTGACGATGGGATCTCAAGTTTCGGATGCTCAGGGCATGGAGTGAGCCAGCATAATGCATAGCCCAGATGCACAAAAGGGAATGGAGCGTTCTACCCAGGAAATGCGGAGTTTGGCGGCAAGCGTGTTCGCTTGGGCTTTAGTAGCCTTTTTCATGCAAGGGGTTTGAAGTTGCATATATGACATAGTGGATGGATGCAGGGGTAATGGAAAATGAAATGCAAATCGAACGTATATCATTGGGTCTACATGAGCTATAGTCGAAACTTCTTGAAGTGGGTTATATAGGGGAGTATCAAAGGGGTTATCAAGGGGGATACTAGGAGTTCAGACAATGGCTCATATGAGTAGTATTTTATTTGGGGATACTATGGCACCCATTATAGAGTAAGATTATATCCTCCTTTTGGGGTATAGTAATTTATATAAGGAGTATAATCTTACTAGGTTCAACCACAAAAAAAAAACACTACTCATATGGTATGTATGGAGGCTGAGGGATGCACCGCTTCCTTTGCACAATTCGGATCTGGAACCCTGCTTGCGTTGAAAGTCTTCTTGCATGCAGTGTTTGAAATCTGCTTAATGCTTTGGGAGTTTCCATAACTAGTAGGGGGCTCCCTGTAATACACCGAAATACCATAGTCCTTGTGGGGACTTCCAAAAAGGGGTCCGAAACGTGCAAACCCACATCATATCCTTTCCTTCGGGAGATCTTGCATGATCAGTGCTGAAAGCGACCTGAACTTTCGTTCATCCCAACTTACTGCGGGTTAGAAGAAAATCAGGGAAACAAGTCTCTGTACAATCACTACAGAATACATTCCCTTATTCCCTGCTAACCCCCAGTCACTAACCCTGAACCCTAAACCCTAAGACCTAAACTTACTGAAGTGAATGAGACATGATACGTACCTGTTTCTGTACTGAGGGGCTCAGGCAGTAGTGCCGACTGGGCAATCAAGACCCCCGAGCTTATGCTAGACAAAGGAGTGTCAACGGGGTTGTAAAAAAAAACTTCAGTAAGCCTACGGTGATCCTTGAGGTTGTCAAGATTTTCGAGCTTCAGAGAGGTGCGGGATGACTGGCGAGGCAAGGCTTGCTTGGATCATTTCCCTGAGAACTTTCTTCTGGGTTTGAGGTTTAGGGTTTAGGGTTTGATGTCTAGTATCTAAATGGGTTTAGGGTTTAAGGTATAGGGTTTAGGGTTTAATATCTAGTATCTAAATGGGTTTAGGGTTTAGGGTATAATATCTAGTATCTAAATGTAGTTTCTATGGTTCTCCCTTTAGAGCAACTTCATTTAGGTCCGTTGACAGCAACCCAGTCTTTGCTTACCAAATCCGCAAGAAGCACCTCAAATTCGCATCTACCAGGCTTCCAGCAAGGGCAGACTTAGAAACTTGGATTGGGGGTTGAGAATCAGGGTGTATAGTCCCCCTAAAGCAGATAGAACATGGAATGTACAACATTAAAACAAGATCCTTCCATATTCCATATTCTATCTAATTACTTGAGAGGGGCTGCAGGGTTAGAGCTTTGGGCTCCGGGTTGGCTGCGTCTAGAGGAGCTACATTAGGAGCTTAATCGTCTATACCAACATCACCCTACAGCGTTTGCTTGTGAACAGATATTCTGAGTACGCAATCAATGCTGAAAGTTTCGATCCTTGCGACATGCTTTGTTGGTCCTCCTTGAGCCTCGGAACTTGCCAAACTCATTCCCCACTGAAGAAGCCCCAATTAAATCGGACAGACTGTGGCGCCACCTTCCTGCCAAGGTCGGGCCCATCAAGGGCGGCTCACCGATTTGCCAGGCAATGAGCTTGCTCTGAATGCCGGCAAGCAGCTTGCAAGGAGAGCTTTTACAAGTTCTTGCCCAGTCTCCTAACCGCAAAACCCCAATCCCGTACATGGATGCTGCTTCTCTAGTTATGGAGCTGATTGGAGGATATTTTCGGAGTACACCTCCCCGATGCTTGTTCAGCCTGTGGTGACTTTCAGGTAGAATTATATCAGCCTCAAGCGCTGATCAGCTATTTGTCGGGGATCGAGCAGCGAAACACTATACTAATCGCTACGATGGATACTAAATATCCTGCATCACCTTAAGTACCCTAAACTAACTTGGGAGTTATGATTATGATCTTATTGTAGACAAACGAACGTCAAGCTTGATGTTTAGTGTCAACAGCGTATCACCCCCCAGCCCAAGAATGATCCGGAGATTCCAGCATTTCTTTCCCTACTAATCGCCAACAAGGCTATCGAAGCAGAAGCCGAGCACGGGCGGAGGCTTGGTTATCAGTTCTTCTGTTGGTGACATATGATAGGTCCCATGATGCAAAAGTGCCCGCATGTAACAGCAGGCCAAATGATTTGAAGAACGTGTCGGTATGGGTTGCAGGAAAAGTTTATGAAGAATATAGGTAACAACTAGGGGACCCCAATAAAAAAACACAATATACTATAATCCTTATTACAGGGACCCCCAAAAAGGTACCCTTGTTTTACGAACCCCCATTTCAGGAATTGCTGCCTGACAGCTTGGTTCCCGTGTTCCCGAGTCTAACCCTAGTAGATACCCTCTTATCAGGTAGTAGTTTCCTTTTCTTTTTCATTATCCCTAAATACTCCCAAAATATTCCCTTATTCCCTACTAACCCGAAACCCTAGGAACATATCTATATATACATATACATGCTACCCCCCCCCCGCCCCCAATATGTGTATATATATATATATGTATGTGGCTGGTACCTTTGGGGCCTATTCGTCCAAGACTTTATATATTCATAATATAACACCTAGTACGAATACGATAATTAACATACAACACTATACTCCCGCGCAGTACCAGAATGATGAATCGTACATGGATACCATTGCAAAAAAGCGTAGCCTATCAAACATTCAACTTTGTTTCTTG